TGCAGCGGTGCTCTGCTGACTCCTGTTCAGCTTGTTGTCCACCAGGACCCCCAGGTTGCCCTCAGCAAGGCTGCTCCCCAGCCACACAGACCCCAGCCTGGGCTGGGCTCTGTGGTTGTGTCGTCCCAGGTGCAGGACCTTGCACTTTGTTAAACTTCATACTGTTCTTGCCAGCCCACTCTTCCGGCCTGCCCAGGTCTCTCTGTGAGTTGGTTCTCCCTTCTGACGTGTCCACCTCACCATCCAGTCTGGTGTCATCAACAAACTTTGTGAGGGTTCTTCAATCCCATCATCCAGATCATTTATGAAGATGCTGAACAGCGTGGGGCCCAGATAGAATACAAACCATTGATCACCACACTCTGAGTGGTGGGCCTGTGACCCAATCTCCTGTCTATCTTGGAGACCACCCATTCAGTCTGTATCTTGCCAGTTTGTCCAGTTAATGTTAGTGTTGTTAGCTGTATGTAATTATACTTGAAGGAGTATGTAACTACATGGGAATATTTAAAATGTTACGGTTTGCTGGTAAGGATTACTGTCACTGGCTCAGCAGGGGTGGGTATATGATCTTATTAATAGCTACTTACAGATATTTGGACAAGGATTTCTTCTATGAACTTCCCCTTGCAGAGTACACTGCTTTCTTTTCCGGAGTAGTTTCCAGAAAACATCTAGGTTTAGCCAACTCTTGATAATCAGCTCAGGAATCATATGGTAATTCTGTGTAGATTTGTGTAAGAAGTTTTTCTAAAATTTTTGTCTTTTTTTTCTTATCTGTGACTTACTCATTGGGTTTTGTATGGTTATTTTATAGATAAATTGTATCATCTTTATATATAAAATTTAGGAGTATCCATAAGTCAGTCAATTCCTTTTTTATATTGCCATCTGTTAGAAGAGTGACATAGATTCACAGATTGGCAGGGGTTGGAAGGGACCTCTGAGGATCATCTAGTCCAACCCCCTGCTAGAGCAGGATCACCCAGAACAAGTTGCACAGGATCACATCCAGGTGGGTTTTGAATCTCTCCAAAGGGGACTCCACAGCCTCTCTGGGCAGCCTGTTCCACTGCTCTGGAGATGTTACAAGATTCAAGCTTGGATACTCGCTTAATCCAGAAGATTAAGGAATTGCTTGCATTATCTTGTTCAAACCACACCTTTTTACCAGATTTTTTCTTGTATAGATTTTTGTGCTTTTTAAGCATCTGTGTTTCTTTTTGTTCTTTCCACTCCTTGGCATAGAAGGGATGCTAGAGAAATGGATTTATTCTTACAAAAGCAGTATGTAACCAAGCCTCTGTAGTAATCATATCATTCTATATTCAAGTCTAGAAACAGTGTTTTTGTCTCTTCTTAATTGTACACGCAGTTCTTTTATGTCACGCTATTGGATTTGTCGTGTATGGATTGTACTCTCTAGGTTATATTGCCCCGCTGTTGTTCCTAGTACATGTGGTAAGTATTGGACATCTTTTAATTCAGGTGTTTTACCTATCTGTAATTTTTAGTGCGTAGTGGTCGGGGTTTTCTCGATATAGAAGCAGTTACGTATCCATGGGTGCGATGCCCTTCTCTAGGGAGACATTCCAGCTTGCAAGAGGAGGCGAGAGTGAAGCACAAAAAAACTCCTCTGCTTGGTTAGAGAGGATGAGGTGCAAGGAGGAGGAGGAAGGTTAAGCAGTATGTGGTACATTTAATGCAGTTAATGGCAGACAAGATTAACAACATCTTGGAAATTCCTTAATTATTACCAGAGAGTATCTGTTGATTTGTTTAGCAGTACTAACATTGTTTCTGTAATAGTTCCTTTTAGTTCAAAGAGTGGAAAAAACCTCCATGACCTGAGAGCACAAGTAGGAAGCACGTAAAAATGGGAAGCTTATTTGTAAAAACCTTAATGAGTTCCAGAATTCACTTCCTAAGCTGATCCTTCAGTAAGAAAATATAAGCTGTTTCAAGAACTATTTCTAGCCAGTTTAGCTATATTTCACCTACTTATCGGTGGCTTTTGCAAAAATGAGTTAGCCAATCAGTCTTCTTTCCAGTAAGGACATCAGGTAGGACTGGAAGAAATCTTTTGGTTATGTCAGATGTTATGCTGTTGTCACATCTCTGTCTCTTTTAAAGTTTATAGCATTGTTTGTTAGAGCAATTGAAACTTTCAGAACCTTTCTTTCCTTAGTGATTTAAATGTATTCCTTTTAAACTGTCTGATTATCTTTGCATAGTCATTTTTTAAAGATGTACTGAGGTTTTTGGTTGATCTGTTTTGTTCTAGCCCAGAGCTGAGGGAAACTCTGCTGAAAGTGTTTTAACAGCTTTTTCTGGAGGTGTGTGCAAGTCCCATGGTTAACACGTTGGCACAGCTGTTATACTGAGGAGTGCCTATGGTAGAGACTTTCCATGTTAGTTGGCAGGTTCCTGAAGTGCAGCATGGCGCAGTTTTCCGCATGCTGTTTCTAAGGGGTTTTGGAACAGTCAAATGAGAGGAGCAGAATTATTCTTCTTTAGACTTACTTGGCTATACTTACATGCATTGTACTGCCTCTTAGAAAAAGGCATTGCAATGCAAGGGGATGAAAACACCTCCCTGCCTTTCCTAGAAGAGTATGTGACACTCAATTTCATGCATACTGGACAAAGAACACTTAATTAGCTTCAAATTAGTTTCAGCTCTTTCATCATTATCTTAAAGGTGCATCCAGTTTAGTGGTTGACACATATTTGCAGAGCTTTTTCTGGCAGGAAGTTCTTTTTGATGCAGAGAACTGCAAAGACTCGGTCAAAAATTGATAATTACTGAATAGTAGTAACTAACAAGATAGAAGGAGGACATGAATTAAAGTCAGAGTGAAACTTAATCTTTACAAGTAATGTGCATAAAGGAAGTAATGCAGCCTTAAAAATGTGACAGCGATGGGGGTTAGAAGTGTTAAAAGGCAGAGTCTGGATAAAAATGGTAAAACCAGGAATGTGTTTTAGGCTGAGAGAAGCTGTAAGACTGAAATGAAACTTGAACAGTGAATGGGAGCATCTGGTCTTCAGATGGAAAGCTTGAGAGGGGTGGTTGGTATCAACAGGATAAGAAGAAACAAACAAGAATACAGGATTATTTTTTTGTGTTCCCTCCTCTGTCTTCATGAAACTGTACTTGAGATTTCTGTGTCCCATTTGATTTTCCCAGTTCAAGGTAGTAATCTTTGCTCTCTTTTGCTTCTAATGGTAACAGAGTTCACAGAGGTGATAACAAGAACTTGTCATCTGTGAAAGGTGCTAAGGCAGTGACTGAATTGATAGGAGGGGAGCTCTGGCCATGACTCCTAAAAGTTCTCCATTCTTGCAGGTTTTGTTGAAGCAGCAAGATATGGCTAAGAAGAGCTTTGAGTGAAGTGGCAGTGGCATTTGATGACTGCTTTTCTGGTGCACCATAACTTTTTTCTAGATGGAAATAGATAGGTCTGCAGCTATTCTCAACATCTGCATTTGTACTAAGTTGCTGAAAAGCACTTTTACTCCCATACAGCACTTTCTCCTGCATTCCCTCCTCCCTAATGTACTATGTTTCTAAGTAAAAATTGCAGTGTACTGTAACAGCAGAATCTTTCAGTGGAACAACAAAGCTTTGTAGTATTTGCTTTTCCCACATGTTAAAAGGAAATATGTAAATAAAAGGATTTGGTTCAACAATGTGACATGCACAATAGCAGCTGCCTCCTTCCAGATGGTAAATTTACCATCTGCTACCTCTTTGCGAACAGCCTGTGCCTTGTATGGACCTTGTGGTGTGTCCATGTTGGGGGTCAAAAGTCCTTTGACTTGCTAAACTGTGAACTTGCTAAAGGGATGCAGTCCTGCTCACAGTAGAAAGTGTTGGCTGGGCCTAATGAAGCTGGTGCGACTGGGTGTCTGATACCCAGCATCTTCCATGCAGCAGAGGAAAATTAAGGAGCTCTTGTTCGCAGGCCAGAGGTTGCACAGCTCTAACTGCAGTGCAGCTCATCTCATGAGGTTTATGACCTGACTTACGGCTGTCAGCCACATGATGTGGCTGTGGCTGTAGTGCGGGACCATTCTCCTACGCAGCTGTGTGTTCCTTGTGTGCAAATATAAGCTGTTTGCGAGTTGTGTCTGCATTCTGTCTGTTTGCTGTAATTAAGATTGTTATACATAGGGTTGGAGTTCTGAACATGCTGCCTTTGATTTAAACTGGCAGATGGGAGTATTTTCTTGCACAGCTTCTGACTGTTCTGTGAAACCTGCAAGCCTGTTATTGGTATTCTTTTAGAAGCAAAATAAAGGTCTCAATTTAGGTAACAATTTTACAAGTTTGTTACAGCGGTTAGGGTGGTTGTGGAAACAACCATCTAAATTGTGATCTGTATTTGGTAAGACATTTTATACTTGAATCACTCCATAACATTCTGTTGCAAGGATACTTGCATTTTCTCTTTTAATTCATCTTGTAATAGCTAGTGTATTGTCAGGGCACTAGCTATGATTCAGTGTCATTTAATTATGTTTGCTCAAAACACTGTGAAGATAGTGGGTTGTCAGCATTTAAAAATTTGCAAAGTTAAATGTTAGAAATACAAAAGTGTTCCTAAGTAGGACTAGGCAAGCAAGCAGAGGTGACTTGACTACAAATAATAGGGATCTTGTCTTTGGAAATGATGGAGGATATATATCTAAGTGGTAGTGAGTTATGGTTTTGAGTGCATGCATTTGATAAGTCACAGCCACAGAGGCAACTTTATATTTATGAACAGCTAGGCAGGTTTTTTTTATTTGATACCCTCCTATCCAAACCTTAATTCCTTTCACGAGACTCATAGTGTACTGCAGGTAGGACTGCCTTTTACATCTGTTCAGAAGCTATATTTGATGTAAATCAAGCAATCTGGTTAAGCATTGCTTCTGACTGTGAGCAGATTAAACTTGAAGCTGTTACAGCTGAAAAATACTGAAGTTGTTGATCTTGACCTATAAAACTCGAAATGGTGCAGAGCCTCCGAAGAGGGCTCCAGTTTCTTGTGATGTATTGTTGCAGAAACACTGAACTCAAGTTTCATTGAGATACCTGATTGAGGGTTAAAGTCAGAGGATCTGGGATTTATTTGAGAATTTATGATAGCCTGGTCCTACCTTCAGAGTGTTTTGCACTCTTTATTCTCCAATGAAATTATGAGCAGGACAAGTTCTGTAGTTCATTTCTGTTAAACTTTCTTTAGATAGCATTGAGTATTGGCTGGATTCTTCCTTTATAACTGATAATACAGCATAAGTGATCTTACCATTTTTCACTAGTATGAATTTGTGCTCAGTACATTAGCCAATATTCAGAAAAAAATTGATCTACAGATGTATTTCAAAGCAAAAAACCTCACAACCTTTTAACAGAAGTATTGAAAAAAAGATAATGCCGCTCCTTAATTTAGCATGTGATATCCTTAAATCAGATCGAGTACTGCAGTTTTGTAAAATAGTCTTTACTATTTGATATCAAGCTACTTCAAGCTAATAATGCAAAGTTGCAGAGTACATCTTCATATAATACTGAAAACAGGTAATAGCTGGATGAAATATAAGACGGGCACTTCTGAAAATGAAGTCTTTCAACACTTAATGCTTTCTGTTGCTTGAATAAAGAGGTTCTGTCTAGTTATGAAACTCTCCTCTCTGGAAAAATGCAGTTATTTCTCAACAAGCATTTTGCACGCTCTAATGCTATCTTAAAAGCTTGTACTTCAGTGTGTATCCTGTTTTTTAAAGATGTGTGCTATCTACAGAGGCTTCCTGAGGATATCACTTGAGCTGTTTTCTGCTATCATTGCTCTGTATTGTCTGCTCTACTGCTATTTGTATCTTCATATCAGTTGGCAGTTAAATCCAGTGTTGATGCTTATTTCTGTAGCTAGTGGTATAGATTAATATGTGTGTTACATTAATGCACAGTGAGCTGTACAATATTTTGCATCAGCTGTTAATACTTCAAATATGTGCTCAGTGACACTGAATTTAATTGCACATAGACATTAACTAGAAATTTTTATTTCAGAAAACAAACCTCTTCGGAAATGAGGAAGCAAATAATTTTTAGCCCTGCTTCTACTTTACCTGGTAATAAATGTCATCTGTTATGATTGATATAAAACTGTTGAATGGGAGAGAATACATATAGCCTGTTCAGCATTAGAGGAAGTAATCTCCAATATGGGCGAGATATATATATTGCTGTCGTCGGCAAGAAGGGTGTCCTCTTTGTTCAAAGCTTCTGGTCTTAAAATTGGAACACCCAAGCTTGTGCTATCATTGTAAGGAATCCGGTCCCTTACAGAAAAGTTGGAATGTTTTGTTTGCAAGTAATCCTGCCTTTTTGTTTTCTTAGGATGTTTTTATTAGTAATTTGCATTCTTACTAACACTCCCACCTTCCCCATTTTGAAAGTGTGCCCTTCAGTTTGGAATGACACAATGTGTCTCTCAATAGAGTTAAGATAATTTTAAAAATAAAAGCTTAGTGAACCTATTGTTAGTTTAAAATAGGCTTCATGGAATGTTGGTTTCAAAGAATTTCTTGATCAAGAAAGTTTCTTGGTTCTCTGGGGAGTTTATTACTTGGTGACAGTTGGTCTATCCAGAATAGCAAAGCCTGGTTGTCGTGAATGTGCTGGGAAGGAATGAACAAACTTGGGTTTTCACCATGCTGTGCACACTGAGAAGCGGAATATTTCATCCCAGGTACTTCAAAATAGATGGTCTTGATGTTGTTTCATTTCCTAAAGGACCCTCCTGGTGGGCGTATGATCCACTTCTTTGCAGACGATCTTTAAGCGACAAGTTTCTGCAATGCTCTGGAACGGGATGAGACAGGATCTCGCTGGCATAACTCAACCTGCAGCAGCCTCAAGTGCAATACATTGTACAGACACAACAGCATTTTTCCTAGTTTAATTTGTTTTGATCAGCATGAGGAAGAGAAGCAAAGGAGAGCTGTGCTAGCAAGCACACAGCTTTGCCAGGTTAAACAGTATCTACACTGGTGCTGCTTCTTCTGGTGTACGTGATGGTTATTGGTTTAGTCTATCTGATTTTCATTCTGATAAAAGCTTTCAAGACCTTTGCTTCCACTTCGTAAAAGAAAATGCTTCTGGTCAGATTTTATCAACAGCTCAGCTATTCTTTTTTTTTTTTTTTTTCCTCAGAACTGCAATCTGTGCAATTTTTGGTGTTAGTTCAAAAGGTCATTTACATATCTCTTCCAAAATGCATTTTTGTGACTCTTGCAAGGCATATGTGAACTGTTAGAACTAAAAGGCGAGTGGTCTGAAATGGTAAATGATTTAAATTGTCTAAAATAGTGGCTGCGTGGAACCTGATGTTTTCTCGAGCATAGAAATTAAAGGTTAAATGGAGCATAGTTAGACGATGGATGCAGAGCAGATAAATTATTACCGTATGTAGCTGTGGCACATGCTGTGGCTTTATGAAGGTGATGAGAACAATGCTTGGCTTTATATTTGAATGATGCTCTCCATTGCTGCTTTTTTAAAAAAGTAAAGTAATACTTGAGTGAAGTGTTCTGACAAAGCTGTGTAAGTAAACTGAGGTAATGCTAATGAATTCTTGAATGGTAGCAGTCTAACCTTTACTTTAGACTGAAGTGTACCTCTAGCAGTTTGTGATTTGCCATGCATCTCTCTGCACTATATTTTAATTGATAGGGTACACACTGTGATTAGGAAAGACTGTTTTGGGGCTGGATGGTGGTCTGGTGGCTCTCCAATTCAGTGCACGCTCTGCTACGGCAGTATGTGTGTTCGTCAGCTGAGAAACAGGTTGTTACAATTCACTTCTCAATTTATGCTTTTGGAAAATCCAGCCTGAACTGAAGCCTGTGTAGGCTTCAAAATACAACAGTTTTCCAAGTCACATCAGTCACCTCTGGTTCTGTTTATTTAAAATAAGCAAATTAGAGAGGAGACAAAAGCTGATGATATCTGTAGAGCCTCTGCCCCTTGGGAGGAGCATGTTACCTGAAAAACTATATTTATTGGAATTAAGTAAACTGAGAGGTTGAACATGTAAAGATGTGATAACTTTGAAACAAGGGTTTGGAGTTAAATCAGTTTTGACTGAAAGTTTTTGTTAGTTTCATAGGTCTTGAGTTCTAAGAATACGCATTGTTATTCTTTTTTCAGGTGGTATCATGGAAAACTTGACAGAACAATTGCAGAAGAACGTCTTCGACAAGCGGGAAAACCTGGAAGTTACCTTATTCGAGAGAGTGATCGGAGACCAGGTTCATTTGTGCTTTCATTCCTTAGTAAAACAAATGTCAATCATTTTAGGTGAGAATTAAATGTTTTATTTTAAAATACTGTAATCTGTGTATTTTTGGGTTTAGAACACAATAGAGTACAAACAGAAAAAAATCGTTGTATTATAATTGAATATTTTTGACTCTTCATTCTTGCATGATACATCTTTTTACTTGTGTTTGATTGGTTTAAAATATGCTGCTTAAAAATTACTTTATAGGCTAAAGAACAAAAATGTGAGGAAACTGGTATCTGGATAGAGAAGCCTGTCTAAAGCGGTTGTGAATAGACTTAAAGCAATATGTAGGTTTCATTAGTCAGTCAGGGAGATTGTTTTGAGTCTGTCCCATAGTAGCCTTTGTAGCTCACAGGACGTACTTAAAGTGCTAGCACATCTGGTTGCTTCTTTAATTTTGAGAGAAAAACTGCCAAAAAAACCCAAAACAAAAAAACCCAAGAAGAAACAGAGAGATTATGTATTTAATAATCCGAAGGTTTGCTGGAAACAGCTTTCATTGTGTGTTAGAATTAGTTGTTCTAAATACAAGTAGCTCTTTATCCAAAGTTGTAACTAGGATTATTTTATCATTGCCAAACTGAGTACATTAGTAAGTTCATTTATTCATTAGTGTAAATGACATGTTTTATGAGAAGAACTTGAAGGTTAGTCAGCAAGTGGAGCGCTGCAGTATAATGTTCATCTTACAAAATAGGAAAGCAAATGTTTCTTAAGCAGTAGAAGTCTTTGTCAGTTGCCTTGATAGCAACAAATTCAAAGCAAATTCTTCAACTTCTGAAATTGGGAATTATCCAGAATATCAACATATGAGCCACTGTGTGCATGGTTTGCAAATGTAGGGGGTTTTTTGATTGCATCTGCTGTGTGATGAAGTGTGGTTCAGAGGTCCTGATCTACCATTGACATGAAGGCATAATTCTCTGAAGGTGCAGACAGTATAGCACAGAAATAGTATCTCATGTTTGCATCTTGCCATCTGAGCTATCAATTTCAGCTTCTCAGCTATACTGATGCTGTTTGGGAACTGGTTACTGTGTAGCAGTAGCAGAAAAGTAATCTGTGCTAATACTTGCTTTCTAGTGCTGTTTTAGAGTCCTGGATTACTTTTAATAACTTCTCCTTTGGTAGTCAGTATCAGGTAGTTGACTATTGGTTCATGCCCACAATAAAAGTGTTTCTGGCATCTCGGGTTGAAAATAGTCCAATGATTTCAGATTCCCTAAGGAAAGAGTCCTGAGAATATTTTCAGACCTTAAAGAACCTTTCATTTTGAGATCCATAAAGCACACAGATAAATATCCAAAGGGAATTAATTTGTTAGTTAATACTCGTCTTCAGAGATTGAACATGTTTTTAGTTTCATTCTTTGACTGCCAAGTGTATATTTTTGTTTGTTATTAGATAGACGAGTGTTACAGTCAAGAACATTTCCCACCTCAAGAACGGCAGCCTTAAAGTAACTTTAAACAAATACAGGGGTGGATGTCCTGTGTCTGACAGAGCAGAAGTGCTGTTTTCACCAAAGCTTGATCTTTGCCAGCTGCAGCCTACCAGGAATACGTGAAACTTCCATTGCTAAAAAATATCCCTCATATTTTGTTTCCTAAAAAGTGTTATTTTTCACACTAAACTTAGATTTCTGTGCAACTGAAATCCCAACGTTTTAGATGAAAGTTTCTTAAACTCTTTTAATTCTTTTGGTGCCTCTTGAAAATTGCATGAAGACATATATTCTCATGCAGCATATGATTGATTTATAGCATATGAATCTGTCAAAACTAAATCTTCTTTCACTGAAGTGTTACCTTCTGGTGAGTCAGTGATACAAAATATTTGGAAGGAAAATATTTATAGTTTAATCTTTTCCTTCAGAATTTTCTGTGATTACAGTAGTCTTTCTGTGTTTGCCAGCTCAGTGTTCTGAAGAAAGGTTTCATTTAAGCTTGATGAAATAATAATCTGAAACACTAAATTTCATTTAGAACCTAATCTTTATTGAATAGTTTTACCAAGCAATCTTACAGAAAATATACCAAAAGATCTAGCCTATATCCTTGAAGTTATATTGTTTTCCAACTCCACTTGCAGTGCTGCTGTACGCTTAAAAACTTTAGACTTCATCTCTGAAGACTCATCTTTTTGTATACATGTTTGGGATACGTCACTGTTTGGGAGAAATAATTTTGTTCAAAGAACTGACTGAGAAGGAAGATTTTTGGGCAGGAATGTATCACAATACTGACCTGCTAAAGAAAGAGAGTAAAAATGGAAGAAACCAATAAAGATTGTACTTGTTTGGGATGAAGGATAAGTTTCTTGCCAACTGAATGTTTGGGCTTGAGGTTTTTTTTCCTCCATTTGTTTTTGAGTTGTTCACAAGCTTTGCAAAGAGTCAAACGAAGTAGAACACTAAGAAGATTCAAATATGTTTATTCTTGGTACTGTAATTTATTTCAAAATATCCTTAAGATAATTTGTCTCTCTTCTGGAAACTGGAGAGACAATTAACATGACCTTTTAGATTTTAGGGTTTTTTTAACAGCAAAATTTACTTAGCTTGGTAATAATTTGTTTCTCAATTTCTTACATTTTTGTAATAATGCAAGTCAGCTGCTACTCAGGTCTCCTGTCTGATCTGTGTGTTGCTGGAAAAGCTCAGGTCTGCTTGATGCCATCAATTTACATAATATGATCATTTCTTTGGACTATCTGGTCAAAAATGCAAAAGTTGTTTCAGATTAAGTACTTCTTCACTTTTGCAAATGACTCTTGAGTGTAACAGGCCTGTTTTGAATACTGTTAACCCTTTTACCTAAATAATTTCTGACTGCTTTTAGAATTCATATTGATTGTCAATGTGAACAGACATGTTACTTCCCATTTTTGATATGACAATGCATTACCAAATCTCTGTACTTTCAGAAAAACACAACCCTTAAAGAATAAAGGAAACAGTTTTGTGAGAATTCTTTGTTGCGTTAAACTACTGAAATGTTTTTGTAAGCTTCTTTCCCATTAGTTAGCAAATTTTAAATTGAGTATAAGGAGATACTTTGATTATTACAAAGTAATTTCTTAATTTTAATATGGATGCTAAACTAACTGTAAGAAAGTGACTGATTTTTGAAGGTGTTCGTTTTCTGCCTTGTATAATCAAGTGCAATTATTTGTTGTTAAGATATTTTAATACTTTGTTAAATATGTATGAACGCCTGTCATAAAAGGTCTATGTCCTGCATGATACAGGTAACAATGCTGTTGTGTCTACTAGTGCATTATTTCAGTTTTCAGGACACTTACAATTTTTATGTTTAATTTCATTTAGTTCTGACAAATGTACTGGCTTTTTTGTGAATCAGCACTTCCTTTAGAGTCTTAAAATACTGGTGTATCATGCGATATATACTCACATGCTATAGAGAGCTTGTAATATTGCATTTTGCTGAATATCGATGCTGCTTTAAAAATTAAACATACTAATTTCCTTTTTCTTAAAAAATTTTTTTTATGTCAAGCTTTTTTTTTTTTTTATTAATAGGATTATTGCCATGTGTGGAGACTATTACATTGGTGGACGTCGTTTTGCTTCGCTCTCAGACCTAATCGGTTATTACAGTCATGTGTCCTGTTTGCTGAAAGGGGAAAAGCTCTTATTTCCAGTAGCACCTCCAGAGGCAAGTAGTAAAATTTTTATAGTAAAATTTTTAAGTGTCATTTACTTAAATGTTAGTAACTTTAATCACCATTCATAGTTTTCTTCAGAAAAGGCGTTGTAGAAAGTTCCCTGTAGTTCTGCATAGGTTCAGCATATGTTGAAGTACAAGTGTATGGGTTTGCATGGCAAGGTTTTGACAGGGGTGGCTTCTGCAAGAAGCTGCTAGATGCTTCCCCCATGCCAGAAAGAGCCAATACCAGCTGGCTCCAAGATGGACCCAGCCAAGGCCAAGCCAATCAGTGATGGTGGTAGTCCCTCTGGAAAAAGTATTTAAGAAGGAAAACAAAAAAGGAGGAGCAGCTTTTGAAGCCAGAGGGAGGAGTGAGAAGGTGTGAGAGAAACAACCCTGCAGACACCAAGG